ACCGATTATATCTACATTTACTGTGTCAAATAGAAATTCAGGCCTCTGAACTGGAACTATGGGTATACGATCGTTAGTTCTTTCTCTACTTGGTAATTGACATTCCTTACAAGTTTTACAATATTCTTCAATATCTCGTGACATGTTTGGCCAATAAAATGAATAACGAATCCTTTCTTTTGTTTTTCTCATCCCTAAATGATTTGCAAAAATAGATTCGTGAGCTAATTTTAAAATTTGTTCCCTTCTAACTTTAGGTAATACCAATTGACTAACTTGTTCTCCGGAAATTCTTTCGGTATGATAAATCAAATCATCCATTAAAAAATATTTATTTTTATTTCTTTGCGCGTCTTTATAGATATTGCGTAATGTCTCACATTCCCTTTGCTGTTGTTTAAAAATACTGGCATCTGAATGTTGATTCACATTTAATTTATCCTCACTTTCGTTTTCGCCCTGAATGCAACTTATGACTAAATTTTGCTCTCCTCCTGTCATAAATAAATCAGCGCGTCTTTCGCCTTCGAATTGTTTTGACTGATGACTCCTCATTTCCGGTATCTGCGATGGAGACACTGTGTCGCAATCACGATTCGCGCTAAGCAGATGTGATTCAGAGGTCAATAAATCATAAACATTTGGAGTAATTACGCAGGGAATATGAAGTTTTTCTGTTAAAGCTACTAATATTTCGACAGGTTTCAATAAATTAGGATTATCAGCATTTTTGATGGATATAGGAATTCTAGCCACTTTAGCTGATATGGTTTCTCCGAATGCAGAAATTAGGTCAATATTACAGTTGTTCTCAATAGAGAAATTTGATATGTGTTTCGGATTTATAACAGAAATCTCAGGCACCTGAATCAATTATGGCTTGGATTTCGTTACCTGCAACGCAAATATTTACCTTTTGCAATGGTTGCGTAAAAATTTCATTTGACAAGCATGAAGATCCGATTTTTGCTATTACTTTATCACTAGTATTTTTCTCTGGTGTTTTTTTTTTTTAGAGGAGGGTTTTGTGTTACCGATTTGTTTCTTTGTGGACAAGATTTAGCGAGATGCGTTAATTTCCACATATGTAACAGTCTTTGGGTGGATATTTATTTTTATTTATGTTGCTTCTCATATGAGGCGGAATATATTTCGATTCTCTTGAAGAGTGGGACGATTTAGCTATGTTTTCGTTAGTGTTAAAAGTGGTTTCGTTTAACGATTTGCCTTTGTTTACAAAATACAAGTCAACTTCTTTAGCTAAATCCTTAGGTTTTAACCAATTTTCTCCTGTTTTAATATTAATGTAAGTTGCCGTTTCTTTATCTAACGTTTGGAAAAGTTTGTCGGAAATCATTAGTTGACAAAGTGTATCAAAGTCATTAACTTCACGTAATTGACAGTAATACTGGAAATTTGCAGACAGTCTAGAAGCGAACTGAACATGTGACTCTTTAGGATCGCGTCGTGCTCTTCGGAAATTCATTAAACATTCATAAGCAGTTGGTTGATATTCTCTTAATACTAGTTTTTTAATGGTTTTCATAACATTTTAGTTCTTCATCATTAGTGTAAAATAATATATTAGTTGCCTTATCCCCTAAAATGTTAATCAAAAATTCGGATTTGAGCTCCTGTGTATATTTTTTAGTTATGAATGCTCTCTCTAATGTTTGAAAAAACAAATTGAAGTTTTCTGATCTTCCTGGAACAACACTCTTTATCAAATTTTCTAAATAATTTCCCCAACCTGTAATCATGGTTTATCTGCGCGAGATCCATCTTTAGATCATCAATTTTTTCCAATTCTAATTCTTTCTCTAGCTGCGCTAATTTTAATTTCTCAACTTTTTGAGCTTTCTAAAGCCAACTGTGTATCCCTAGCTTTTATTTCATTTTCTTCTCTAACTTTTCTTTCCTCAACTATTGAGTTTAATAATCCAATTACAAATTCTGGATCATTTAAATATTTTACTGTCCTCAATTTTACCTTTTAATTGAACCACTGTTAAACCAACAGTTGGTGTATCTTCAATTTCACCAATTTCACCAGGTTTACTAAGTCTTCTTTCTTAGTATTTCTAGCTTATTTTTATATTTTTAATTTATATATACATATATACATACATATATATATATATATCTTCAATACATCTATACTTTGAGTAAAATAAAATCAAAAGCTTCCTACCTGCTTCTCTTAAAGTTTCTCTACCGTCATCTAAAGCTCTGGTTCGAGTGAGAGAGCGTGTGATATCATCCCTTTCTTCATTCACCGCCTCAGAAGAAAATAACTCTACCCTTTTGTATTTTAAACATTTATTTCACAAACACAAAACTAATACTAAACTACAATACTAATAACTGAAATATATATAGTGATACAAGTTAATTTCGTTTTCATTAAGGCTCTCACGAGCCTTCCCTATGACCTCTCTGTCGGTCTCCCTCTTAGAAACTAAACTTTTGCGCCTCTCCAGACTGAGAGTTAGCGACCTCTATACATCTTGTTGGTTGGCGTTACCCATACATCTGAAAATTTTATTTCATGTACACATTATTCTTTATAATGAACTGCAACAGTATCTCCCACGACCAGCCATAAAATTTTGTGCACATAATTCCGATTAATGTGGTATGTGGGTAAAAATGCTTAGCTGCTGTTATATTTAAGTGCTCTACTTAACAAGCGTGCTTTTTTGCCTAACTTTATACGCATATATGTTTAAAATGTGCATATACCTCATTCTGCTTAGTTCTAAAATTCATCATTCTGCTTATTTAATTCTAAAATGTTTGTGCATATGAAACTTTTATTTTCAAAACTTTGTTTACAACTCTATTCTGATTAATGTGCAATAGGAATGGTATACATGGATTTCTGTCAACTAGTTGCATGTTCTTAATGTATCAAGGTTTGTGTATGTGTGTTTAATAGTGATAAGATTGCATTGTGAAATTCAGTAATTTTATTTCATGTATATATTATTCTTGATACTGAGCTACATCAGTATCTGACACGACCAGCCATAAAATTTTGTCACATCCATTCTGATTAATGTGGTATGTGGGTAAAAGTACCTAGTTAGTTCTAAAACTTGTATATTTAAGGGCTATACTTAATAAGCTTGCTTTTTTGTGTAACTTTATATGCATATATGTTTAAAAGTGTATGTATAGCTCATTGTACTTAGTTCTAAAATTCTACATTCTGCTTATTTAATTCTAAAAAGTTTGTGCATCTGAAACTTTTATTTTCAAGCGTTTGTGTGCAACTCTTTTTCTGATTAATTTGGAAAAGGAATGGAAAGAATATATATATATATATTTCTGTCAGCTAGCTCCTACTTAATGCATCAAGGCACTCATGTGTATGTGCGTTTAATATCGATAATGTTGCTGTGTGAAATTCAGTAATTTTATTTCATGTACACATTATTTTTTATAATGAACTATATCAGTATCTCACACTACCAGCCACAAAATTTTGTACACGCCACTCTGATTAATGTGGTATATGGATAAAAATGCCTAGTTCCTGCATATTTAAGGAGTACATTTAATAAACTTGCTTTTTCCTAACTTTATATGCATCTTTATCTAAAATTGTGTATATACCTTATTCTACTTAGTATTGTGGGTATGTGTGATGGATATGTTATTTTATATTCAGCCATTGCAAGTTTTCATGTGATTATGAGAGGTATTATGTTGCTTTGTTGTGCTGTTAAAATATATTTTATGATGTCTGTGTCTCTTTTGCTTATAACAAACTTAGATTGAATTGTTCAACAGCTTTATGAAAAATTTCATTATATTTATTGGATAAATTCAAGCTTCTCTAACACTGAAAATGTAAATTGATGCAATGCACTAAACTAAATTTCTAATTTCTTAATGTTAACATCAATGAAATCTAAAATACAAATGAAACTTGAAGAGAAACACACCTGTGTAATATTAAATTTAGACAAAAAAAGCAACTTTAGGTTTGAGGTTTCATTCAAAATGTATGCCACAGTAAGACTGTTTTTTTCTGCCTAATAATTTTAGTCTTGCTTCTAAATATCTGCAATGTTGCAAATACTACATAGAGATCCAAATCTGCATTATTTAAACTTTTAATATTTTTAAGATTTCCTAAAACGGTTATTTGATAAGAGTTAAAAAAATTCTTCAATATGTAAATTTTAATCAGTTTAAGTAATATTTTTACTCCTATGTTCTGGAAACAGAACAAATTTTAGATCATGGTGTATTAATATATTAATTACATATGTAATAGGGGCTACTAAATTATATATGTTCTGGAAACAGAACAAATTTTAGATCATGGTGTATTAATATATTAATTACATATGTAATAGGGGCTACTAAATTATATTTTGGCCGAGGACAGCTGATAGAAAATTTGAAAATTGTGCACTGAAGTAGTATATGTTCTGAAGCTATCAGATAACTTCTTATTATATAAATAATTAAAAAATAAGCTATATGCTCTAAATTACTTTTAAATGAGAATAAATAAATGTAATGTGTACAATTCAGAGTAGCGCATATCTAGATGCAAGCAGGAATTAAAATCGAGATCAAATAGCTGCTGTTTATATATGGGAAAAAAGAAGGGTTAGCTTAAAATTACATGCTTTCCTTCTAATTAATAATATATTTATTAAAAAAAAATCAACACTTTCTGACTACTACGGGTTACGCGTTTTTAAACTTTGCATATAACAAGACAGAATTCGTTTTTGGTAAATTTCCGCTCTTTGTAAACATCGCAACGTGTAGCAGAATTGTAGCGCCATCTTGCGGTCAGTCGGAGGCCACCGAAAGCACATAAGAATATTTTCACACTGGCAGGCCTTGAGCATAGTGAGAGTGACTATACCTTGAGTATAAGTTGGCCTTGGCGAGACTGGACCTCGGCCTGTGACGTATAAGTCACGTGACAGAACACATTTCTGTATATTTTGAACGTTTGGTATGTATGTTTCAAAAGTTTGACGGATATTATTTACTTTGATTTTTTTCCTGTTAAATGAGTCAGTGCACGCCAAATATGGTAATTTAAAGCAAATCCAGAGCATTTCGAAACAACCGTTGGAAGTTTTAGGATTTCGCTGAAAGCGGAGTAGATCGTTATTTTTGGGAAGCGTTCAGCACAGTACCGTTTGTTTCAGTCCTGAAAGGTTTATTATAATGTGAGCCAGTCATATTAAATTTTTTATAATATACATAATTATTTTTAAGTGAATGAATTAATGTATTCGGTTTTATAATATTCGGTAATATGAAAAGGCCATAACTCTTAATAATAATAATAATAAAAAAAAAGAATGAAAGCCATTCAAAATGGAAATGTTTTTAACATTAAATACTTTATTTTGTTACATAATTTATATAAATACATCTGTAGCCTTCTTATAATGATGACAGTATTGTGATCTATAGTATCACAATTAATTATTAATCAAAATGTAGTTTGTTACATTTTGTGATTTTACCAACTTCTTTAAATAGCATGCTTATAACAAAAGATTCCTTACTGTATTTTTTCTTGCTTGTTAACAAGAAAGTTTTATTGAAGCCTACTGATTTTAATAAAATAATCCTGCAGTTGCTTTTTAAGTGTTTTCAGATTATATATGTCTTCTGTGCGAATAACTAAGCATATTTTAAATTACATTTGATTCTGTTAAATGCATTATTTTTCTAAGAACATATTAACAAAGCATTTGAATATTTCACTTTTTAAATTTAAAAAAAAAATCTGATATTACAAGCTAATATTGTGAGAATTATTATTCAGGAAATGAATAAATTTAAATGTGCCATTCAAGATGGTAAGTTAAACGTTTGACATAAATTTACTACATTTAATTTACCAACCAAATTTATAGGATGAATCTGAATTTTAGCATTTAAGTCATGATGCTTAAAAGATGATGAGTGACAACTGAAAGTAAAAGATTTTTTTAAATCCTTTTAGGTCAATTTAATGCTTTAGATTTTCTGCTCTGATTTGTTTGGCTAGTTTTCTTTTGAGTATTCATTATTTTAAACGTAATTTATATTGTAGGTACAATTTTCTGTTTTGTAAAAATATCAATTCAGCATGCATACTGATTATGATTATTAGGTAAATTGGTCAATACTGGGTATTTTAATATAAAACCTACTGAATTCTACTGTTCATATTTAAGTATTGCTTTCTGTCCTAATATTACACTTAATATTATTATTCTGTGATAATTAATGTTGTGAAAAATTTATGATTATGGTTGTATATTCAGTATCATTTTCAGTTGTAATGTCACTTTTTTTTTTAAAATTTTCAGTTGGAGAAAACATGGAAATGTCATTAGATAGTAAAGAAGCTGTAAACAGAGTATTGGATGTAGTAAGTATACAGTCTTTCATGAAAAGGAGGAAAAAACTTGATATTCCATGTCCCACCTGTTATACAATTTCAAAATAAGCTTCTGCAAACTGTTACATTTTAAAAAATTTGTTCATGCATTCCTTTAATCAAAAGTACTTTGTGTAAAGTGCAGAATAGCACACTTATGTGTTTGGCGCTTTTTACAAGAGTAAGAAGAATTGGATATTTGCCAATTTTCTTTGACTTTTTAAGTGAAAATAGGTCATGTGTACATAGATAAAGTCAAAGGAGTGCACAGTGCATTTTTGTGCAATTCTGGGATGTTTTTTAAGTGAAAATAGGTCGATGTGTACATGGATACTGAGTATGTGCAATTCTTAAAAACATGCCAAACAGTGGGAGATTCTGCACTTTCCCCAGTACTTTTTGCAATTACATCCGTAATTATATGGCTGCAGTGAGCCAGTACACTTCTTTTCATTGATCTTGAGAGCTTTATCATTCAAGCATCTGTCTCCTCATCCAAAATTCATAGTATAGAAATCATAAACAGAATAATTTCAACTAATGAAATTCCATGTTAAAAGTGTTTCAGAAGTATATGCAATGAAGTATATGAGTATTTCAGAAGTATATAAGTCACTGGTATCCCAGTGACTCGGCATTGCTGCAGGTAATACTGAGTAAATATGCCATCATGTGAACTGCTAAACTCTTTTGTGTAGATTAATAAATTTAATATCTGATATGACATTCATTTGGAGTGATTGTATATCATGTTATCAGACTATTATTATTGTCAAACTGTAAAATGTTCCATCATGTTAACGGTGTTATTAGCAATTTGTGATATTTTAATGTATCTAAATCTACTAGACAATAATCTGTTTTACTACAAGGATTCTATTATAATAGACACTTAGTCAAAAAATATCTGATCTATTGTCTATATCTGTTGAATAGTTCTGTTGTCTGATGAGTTCATGCTAATACTTTTTGATGAATGAAGACAGCTGAAACATATTATGCAAGACCAAGTAATATGTTCAAGATATCCTTTATGCAAGTTCCAATTAATAGCTTAATCTCTTTCCTTTCTTTTCTTGTAAAGTTAATGGACTGTTATAAACCTACCATAAGTAATGAAAACCGTGTTTTATTTGTAGTAAATTATTAAAAACCTTTTAGAAATTATTTAAACCTTTAAGGAAACCTCAAAAGATATCAATAAAAGGAAAATCATCTTTAAGGAAACAAGATATCAATTCATGAGTTTCATATTCTACCTAAATAGGAAGAATTGCCCTTTGAAGTAATTATTTATGGAAAGTGAAATTAATTAGTAGCTACATCTTGAATAACCCAATCTTTTCTTTACTAAACACCTGTAAAAATTTGCATGTAGCATTTATTTATTAAGAAATATAATTAGCAAATTTTTCTCTAGTCGACCATTTTGAACTGCTGATTTTGAATATCAGATACGTTTAATTTCTGGAAAAAATAATTTGTAAATCAATGGCCTATCAATTGCTTAGTTTAAACTTTTGTATTTGTGCAACTGTTTGATACCTTGACAAATTTGGCAAATTTTGCTGAAGAAACAGAATATTGACTTATAAAAAGTCATTTATTACATGCATATAGATTTCACATTTTAATTAAATATTAAATGCTCCCAAAAATGTTTTTTGTTTTTGTTTCTTTTGTTTTGATGGAAGTTATGTGGCAATCTCTTTGAGAAGAGGGTAATTATGTATTGGGTTGAAACATAAGTAATGGTCGTTTTTTTAATTAAAAAATTTTTATTTTAACAAAACAAAAAACAAGAAATTAGTCAATAATATCCGAGTTTTTGGATTTTTCCCGTAGACCCATGATGTCGAACTATACTCATTTGGCTACTACCCATTCATTTGGCTAATTCTCAAGTGGTTTGATGTGCGTCTTCATGCAGAAGCTGATTCGAACACTCTTCATCAGTTTCATTTGGTCATCTGGAATGAGCAGCATCTTTGAGGTCGAAATTTGCATTTTTGAATTTGGCAAACCAATTTCTTGCAGTTCGTTCAGGCAGTGCACCTTCTTCATACACTTCACAAATCTTTCAGGCTGCATTGGCACCTTGATTAAACACAGAAAGAAGAAAGTGTCAAAATGCTTATTTTTGTCGACTTAACACTCAATTTTAATGATCTTAAATATAACAAAAATTAGCTTAGACAAAAAAAAAAAAAAAAAAAATATCAAATACCATCTTGTAGAGGGAAAGATTCTGTTTCGAATAACACAAAACGTTATGCCAATACATTTTATTTTTACCCCATAATTTTAAACACAACATAAACAGTCACTTATGTTTCAACCCAGTATTAACATATGCACCTTGGTAAAAATCAACAAGTTTTCAGAATTCATGCCAAACTTTAGCTACCATGCACATAACAATTCTTCAGTTTTAACTAGTAATATTGCCAATCCCAATGCATTTATATTAGTATAATCCAAGTTTCAAAGGTTATGATGGGCAATAAAAGATGTTTTTTTTCCCTGTAACTCAGTTTTAAAATATGTGTTTGTGGGATTTTCACGAATTGAAACAAACAATGATAAGATTTCTGCAGGATTACTGCATGTTGCCTCAAATTTCTAAGGGAAAAATTGCTTTGAACCTGTGCTTAAAGTGATCGCTAAAAATTTCCAAGAGAACAAAAAAAAAAAAAAAAAAAAAAAACGCCACCTTTTAGTAAGTTTATTGGTTGATTTCTTATAATAATCACCAAATTGTACCAATGTGATTGTGCTAAATACTTCAGCAGACATAAGAGATTCAAAGCATTTATTGTGTTTAGAGGATTTTCCAGAAAAATATTATATTCCTGGAGTTTTATATTGAGTGTAAGACAAAAAATATCATAACTAACCATTGTAACTTGGTTCAACTAAGAAAACACATACAAACTACTGCGTAAGGGGAGGGGTGTCTTTGTGGATGATTGGTGGTTGTCTGGTAAGGCTGGTGTGTAAAGATACAAGGTAAGCCAAAACTGTTCCATGTTCTTCTGTTTTTATGATGAAGTAATAAAATGAATTGTTTATTATTAAAGAAGTAAACAAGGAGGTTCAAAATTTACAAATTTGTTATGTAAGAATTACAACAAATCGCTCCGACTTACTCTGAGATGACTGGTGATAAGATTGCAAAAACGCAAATATTTAGTAATATCATTGATACAAAAAATTTCTTATACTGGTATTGACAGTAATAAATGAATATTATTTAATAAAACTAATGACAGTAAAACTAAAATATTTTTTAAATGAAAAATTTATTAAAATAAAACTAACTTGAGAAATATAAGACAATAATTAAGGTTCTTAGAAAATAACTGTAATCTAAGACTAATTTGTTTACAAATAGCTAAGTGGATAAATACATGGAGCCCGGTAAGTCGATACTCTAGCTGAAATCCTCTTGAATGAGCTGCATAAATGATTTCTTCTTTTTGCTCATGCGTAACCTAAATACGAGCCGATTTAGTGTAAAATATTCACTATGAAGGCCCTCATTTACTTAGCCTTAATCAATTAATCAAATCAAAATGCAAACTTATTAATGATATAAAAATAATTTGATTTTGAAACTATGACAGAAATACCAATATCTCTTGTTTTACAGTTCACTATTATTACTTAGCAGTCATATTATAGTATCAAATTTATATAAGACATAAATGATAAGCCATTTCAATGAACAGAAAACATTTTGAAGTAAATCATTTAAAAATATTTATGTGTGTTATCTGAATCAAATTTAACTCATTGAATGCCACGAGAATTTATAAAAATTTGTTAGGCACAATTTGTTAGAAAATAGTCGGAAAATTTTCGGAACAAGTTGCCACATTTTGTGATACCTGCGAAGAATAATCAATTTTATGTTAACCATGTTTCAGTAAAATCAATTAAAACAATGTAATTTTAGTTTTGTATTGTATTTATAATTGTCAATCACCGGCAACTGACACAGGCTGAACGGAAAGTTCAGTGTTATTAACCGGTGACTGATATGACACTCAACATGTTAACAATGAAAGCAATAGAGAAATTGAATATATTTTGCCTTTAAAAACTAAAACCTGCACACATAATACAGTGATTAAATTGATGCAGATCCTTAGATCCCAAGATCTTTCAAAGATAATTCACAGGTATAATTTTCTTCTTTGATATTGAAATTTGGATGCCAACGTTGAGTGTATGTTTTAGCGTTTCCTGTTTTTATTGTTAGTGGTGATGGAAAAAAATATGTAAGGTCCATACTTGGTCAAGTTAAAAAACAAAACAAAACAAAACAAAAAAAAAAAAAAAAAAAAAATGGATAGTTTTTCAAAATAGGTTATATTTTGAAAAAAATATTAGCAATTTTGCCAAGACAAAAATTGAACTTTGTAATACCATTTACATTGATGACATTACTATTTATATTATTTTAGTGGTACTTACTATTTATCACTGTATCATTCACATTTTTTATTTAAAAAATATAAACCATTATTTGCACAATTTTTTCTGAAACATATAAAGCTATGATTAAGAATATAAACGTTAGAGTATTAACATTTTAATATAATTATTTTAGATGACTATTTCAGTGTATAGATAGAATTAGTTTGACTTATCTAGGGACGCAAATTTATTTCTTTGCCTCATGGGGAAAAGTATCTAGGCATAACTCGGGTAGATACAATTGTTCCACACACAGATCAAAACCCAAGGGCATTGGAATACCAGATAATCATGGTGCTGGTGCCAAAATAGTGTAGATGTGAGAAGAAATATGCTGTATTAATGTCTTGGCATTCTACTTATAACGTGGTTGTGCTTATAACTGACTATATGTGTGTGTGTTATACAGGGTGAGCCAAAGTTTGTTAAAATTTTAAAAATTCATAAGAAAGGAAGAAATTATGATAAAGAAGTGCAGTTTGCAAGAAAGGGCTCACAAGGAAGTTGGCATTTGAAAGAAAGAGACTTACTTCATGACACTGTATTGTGAAATTTGTATTTTAAAAAAAAAAAAAAAAATCTTTATCATTAAGTACAAGGTGTTTGAAATGGAACTATTATGCTACCAGATTAGAACGTAATTTACTTCTAGTTTTGTTGCAAAAAGTCAGCTGCAGAATATCACCAAATCATGTGTATAGCATTAGGTACTAATGTTGTATCATATGACAGTGTGAAGGTTTGGTACCGAAAGTTCAAAAACAAGGACTATGACATTCAAGAAGCAGAGTGCTCTGGCCAGCCTACTGATGCTGTGAGAACTTATGGAAAGAGATCAATATGCAAATACTTGAGAACTTGCTAATGAGTTAGACACTGGTGGCATGACCATTAGTCGTGCTATGCATCGTATAAACTCAACGTACAAGTTCAATCGCTGGATGCTGCATGATCTGACTCAAGCAGATAAGGACAGATGTGTTCGGCCCTGCACTAATCTGCTCAAATATCAGTGCAAAGACAAATTCTGAACTGGATCTTCATTTGTGATGAAAGTGAATTTCTTTTAACAAACCAGGCCGAAAAGGGAGTTGGCCTGCGCCTAGTGAGCCTGTTGGCTGCGTTGCAGAGTGCAATTTGACTAACAAAAAGATCATGCTTTGGTGGGATTGCCATGATATCATCCACAAAGAGTATCTGGAAAAAGGTAAAACCCTCGACAGTAAGGTATATAGCAAGGATGCTAGTCCATGGTGATGTTGCTATCAACGAAAAACATTGGAGTTCCACTGCAAAAAGGTAATGTTCCATCAAGAAAATGCAAGACCATGTGTGTCTGCATTCTCCGGCTGTACTCTGTAGACTCAAATGGGATCTTTTGCCACACCCACCATATAGCCCTGACATTGCTCCTTCAAACTTCTACCTTTCTTCACACCTGCAGCTACATCTTGCTGGTGCTATCTTTCACTCTGCACAGGATGTCCGAAATGAGGTTGATCTAATTTTGGACTCGAGGCCACTAAGTTCATGCTTTGGTGAAGCATGAACGCTTTGGCTGAAGGTTTTGAAAAACTACGAAAACATTGGCAGAAAATCATAGTGGTGATTAATATCCGCACTAGAGGTACTGCTTTCATGTTTTTTTCCTAACTTTAATAAGAGAATTTTTTGGTGGAAAACTTTCGTTACAACCAGATATTTATAAATCTGCATGTAATAAAAATTTAAAAAAAAAGACGGATGTTATTTTAATCTGCATGGAAAAATAGGAAATGCAGATTTACAGTAAATTTAAATATGTATGAAAAATATATTTCCCCCCTTCAAAGCTATCTTGATGATTCTGTTGGTTGTCAATAGCTTATTGATTTCTGCTGTTACCATTTTCCCCCTTTCATTCTCCCACAATGGGAAAAAATATAATGCCAGTTTTAGGCTAAGTATTTTATATTAAGAATATATATCTTTATTTTGATATAATTTTTCTTTTATATTAACTTTTAAAAGCATTTTCTTCAAATTAAAAGTTAACATACTTCTTTTCTTTATAATCTAATTACAATTAAATGTATGTTCTGCATTTTTAATACTCAAACCAAATTTTGTTTCAGCTTTATGAGTTACCACCAGAATTTGCTCTCCAGTACATGTCTAACTGTTTTGATATTTGTGCAACAAGAAAAGCCAAACGCAAGCAAAATAAATTGGTTCGTTTAGTTTGCATGCTTTTGCAGTCTGCGATAAGAAACAAACTTATCAATGTACAGGTATGTAATCTTTAATTAATTTCAAATTTAGAATTTTAAATACATGAAATAAGCATTAAAATTATAAATGTAGTTGTAAGGTTAGTTACTAACCAAGTAGATTACCAAAAAACATGTGAAATATTTTTCTGTATATTGTATGTATTTTTCTCTTAGATTATTTGGTTGATAACCATGCTGATAAATCTCAAATGTGAAAAATTATATTGTGGCACATTCCTATTTTGACAGCCGCTGGATTTTAAATGCTGCCAAGAATAGTGATAAAATGCCAACATCATTCCTGATGTAAATTTGGCAAAATAATGGGAGTAAAACTCTGACTGCATACAAAAAAGAAAACAGTACATATCTTTTGAATTAATTTTAAGATATGTATTGCAGTCCGCAATAAGAAACAAAGATATGTTCTGTAAGATGATTACTACTTTGTGTAATGTTTTTTCTATTTTCCAATTCAATTTGAATAAATCTTGTATTCATTATTATTTATGAGTCATATTTGAAAGTTGGATTGACATTTACACTAATAATGTAATTAATTTATTTATCATGAGAAAAACTGTGAGTAGGCTGCCTATTAAACGTGTTTTCTTTTTTAAAAAATAGTTAGTAGTTTTTTACATCCTGACAACTGAGGAACATGAGAGACATGAATAGACTGTGTTTTAAAATATTTTCTTGATTTTTTAAAAACAAAGTATTAATAGTTTTTACACTGGTTATCATAAATTAAGGAAAAATCACAAAAATAGCAATATCTCCCTCAAAAATAAGCCAAAACGTGTAAAATTTGAATATGTTGCCAAGTAAGAGTAGCTGACTAAAACTGCGATATGCAAATTAGTGGCGCTGCTTTTGGAATACATCATCTGCGAGGAGCATAAAAGTCCATGTTTGAGAACAAGCCCACATATTCACTGTGACAGTGACATCAGAAATCTGAGATAGCTAATTCGTAACAATGACCTCCAGGCATCATTTGCCTGCAGAACTGCGATGGAGAGCCATTGGGAGACTAGAGGCAGGACAAAGTCAAACAGAAGTGGCCAGATGGCTAAATGTGAGTCCTTCTGTGGTTCATAGACTTTGGAGGCAATTTCAAACCACAGATTCGGCATCTAGGAGGTTCATCCAAGGACGGCCAACTGCTACGACGAGTGCCGATGACCGATATTTGACATTATGTGCATGCAGGAATAGAACCGTTACTCCGACTCTTCTTAGATCCTCCCTTGCTGCAGCCACCAGGAGGTTCGTGTCAATGTCAACTGTGCATAGAAGGCTTTACGACGGTGGTCTGTATGCGAGGAGACCAGCCATTTGTGTGCCTCTCATGTCACGCTGTATGGCGGTTCTCTTTACTGATGAGTCCAGGTTTAGTCTAGAAAGCGATAGTAGGTGTTATTTGATATGGAGAGAACCTAGAACCCGTTATCATCCGTCAAACATTCGTGAAAGAGATGCGTACGGAAGGAGCAGTGTCTGTGATTGGGGTGGCATCTCTTTGGGTGGATGCACAGACCTCCATGTCTTTCCAAGGGGAACCGTGAATGCTCAAATTTATAGAGATGACATTCTTGATGTTTTATGTGCGCCCATAAGCCGGGCCGGGGCAATAGGTGATGCTTTCCTGTTACAGGACGACAACGCAAGACCACACAGGGCTTGCATCGTAGATGATTATCTTCAACAGGAAACAATTACGCACACGGAGTGGCCAGCTCCATCCCCGGACTTGAATCCTATTGAGCATGTTTGGGATACTTTAGGGAGACGTCTAGCTGCTCTCAATCTGCCCCCTCAACCCTTGTCGCGCTTGCAACTGCTTTGCAAGATCAATGGCTCTCGCTTCCTATGGAACTGATAAATCGCATAATTAAAAGCATCACACATCGCTGTATGTGGTGTATTGCTTCTAAAGGCGATCATATTCCATATTGAAGGTACTTTCCTATAGCAAACTGACACTTGCGATTTGTTCATTTTATACATGTGCTAATTTCTATACTATCATATTTGTCTGATAATTTCTTTTTATGTTATGGATACCTTACTATGTGTTGTATATTGTAGGTAAGTTTCATAAAATTCTACATGTAACGTATTCAGTAATCGTGATTTTTCCTAAATTTATGATAACCAGTGTAATTTACTATTGATTGAAGAAGACGTTACATCATTCTTCCAAGAAAGAGGCACTGTACTGCCCATTCAAATATTTGAAAATGGCCATAATATGAAACTGTATATAAACAAAAACATTTAGAGGTGCAATGTAAAAAGATGCAAGCAGAAGAAAAACACATATTCCAATAGCTGGTTAAGTGGCTTAAAATAAGTTTAAGTTATTTTAAGTTAATATAACTTAAAATAAGTTAATGCCACTTTGGTTAAGTGGCATTTGTAATAGCATTGTTTATTTACTATTGGCCAGAGAAATCAATATGGATTAAGTGGTGTGAGAAACAACTGAACTGCTGTCGTCAACAGTTTCATGAGAGGGATATGTTCTCTACATTTAATCTGACAATTAAGAAACTGTGGAAACTGAAAACCCTTTATTCTGGTGAAGATTCTTCCACAAAAATTTCTGGCAGGTTTCTCGGAGAAATTAGCGAGTGTTTTTATGTTCAAGTTTCCAGCCACATTCATGGCAAAAATTGTGGATTGTGTACAATAGTGCGACGATTTATTGAGTCTCTCGTTCAGTAGATGAAATAAACTGAAAAAAGCAGGGTATGCTCACTTCACTATGAATTATAAATTTTATTTTATTGACCTGTTCATAAATTGTTGAAAGACCGGGGCTGCACTGTGTGGCAAATAAAAAGCAACGAGGCATAACTCATCATCATCTTGAATCACATTTTGTAGAATTTGTGTGGCAAAAGTCCTTTAGGCAAGATAATTTTTTTGATGCCATACTAAAAGAATCGCAGAAATGTGGCAGATAGGAAATGTATGTGAAAAGTAAAGAACTAAGTGATTATCTTGGTGGCATTCTGTATTTCTGGTCATATTTCAAGTTATAGATAACTGCTAATCTAATAATTAAAAAGAAATTTAGAAGAGACATTAGTTGATTGATTAATAATCATCTGCTTGGTTTTGTTAATGGCAAAACTGACCAACAGATGGTACCAATGAAGGTTGAAATTCTTTCCTGCTCTCCTAAAATAGGGGCCCAACCTGAGGATTTGTTCTCTTGTACCATGACAATCCAAATGAGTAAGACAGAAATGCACTTTTGACCTCCAGGATTGAATTTGGCTTCTCTGCATGGCAAGTGAAGTCACCAGAGTGGCTACCTAGCATGGCTTCATTTGGTAGGCACAAGATTTGGCTTGTGTATAAGGTGTGGTAGCACATATTTTTAATGCAATTTGCATTACCAGAAAGTGAATGTTTGGAGCTTTAAGTGTTGAAGTGAAAGAGAAGATACAGAATTTTGCTACTTCCTGCGTTTGGAAAGTTGTGAAATATTTTTGTCTTGTAGTACTGAATTTGTTGAAGTTGAAGTTGAATACTGAAGTTTCTTCTGGTTTATATCAGCACTTTTTCAGTGTGTATGTTTCCACTTCTATTAACTTGTCTTAGATTAATGAGCTCTGAAAGACTGTTTTATATTCCTTTATTGTTCTTGAAAACAGAACTCTTTTCCTGAATCAATTTGTGTGAGTTTTCAGTTTCACTGGAGCAGTTCACATTACATTGTTTATTCAAAATCACACTGTTACCTTGAATTTTCATTGAAAACATGGAGGTTAACAATTTTGATTTAGCATGCCTGTGTTAAAATACATCAAAAGTTTTTTTGAGAGTTACCACCAAGTATTCTCCTTGCACTTAAATATTAAATCTGATGCAGGCCAATCCAACTTTCAGTGCCCCGAATTCTTCTAAATAATGAAAATAATAATAGACTCCTTTTGTAAAATACAAAAAAGAACAACCAGTCTAATTTTTTGTAAATGTATACTTCTAAAAACCATTTTTCTTGTAAAAATTATTTATCCAGCTTAATAGGCATTTTTTCAAATGCATTGCCTTGATTACTTAATCACTTTACAAGAACAATGTGACATGTGAATTCAATAAGAAATACAGCAATGCGTGATTGTTTTGAGACTTTATCACATTATGACTGATCTAGTGTTGAACTGGATATAAGATTTCAAATTTTGAGGGCAGAGATTATCTATGTCAGCTGGGGGAACCATCTGAAGCTTGGTGGCCTTTCACAGTTTTAGAGATCATAATTGAGGCCTGGGCATAATGAGGAATTTAGTGTCATTCCAGAAAGCAATTTGTATCATTTGGAGTAATATAACAAACATGTAGATTGTAATGTTTCAATTTTTGACATTGTTGGAAAAATCTTGGTAACTTGCTACAGAATCAACTATCCAAAATTGTTTTTGGCATGCTGATCTAGCAGATACTGATGGAAAGGAATATGAAAATGAGAATTTGCTTATCTGTGTGGAATTTCAGTATTTACAAAATGTGGTGTAAAACTTCGCTAGAATGACATTGTTACATGTGAAGATCTGAACAGGGAACATATTGTGACAGAAATTCAAATAAAATGTGCTGATGTTGAAGGACACACAGAAAGCTAATTTCTGCCACTGTACTCTTACATAAAATAAGAGGTTAATTAAGAGATAGTTTTATAATTCATTTTTAGTGTGTTTTAATGTTAAGTTATTAACAATTATGAATGCATATTTTAGAAAGAGGGCTTTGAACCATGATTTTTATGCCAAGTAATTTATTCCTAAAATTATTTACATATAACAAAACTGAAAAAGAATTGAAAGTGTGTTGAATAATTGCAATTAACTATTTATATGACTTTTTGAAAAAAAGATGTGACAATGTGTTTTTTTCTGTATTTACTACTAGTCGTTTTAACCTTATTTTGTGAGATTAATGTGCGGTGGGGGCAAAAAAGACAAACCACAGGTCATTAGGCAATACATTCTACCTTCATG